AGTCGATCATCTCCTGGGCACGCGCCGACTGGAGCGCACGCGATGAGGTACCTCCCATCTACTGGATCTCAGGGCTGGCAGGGCAAGGCAAGACGACCATTGCATATACCATCTGCGAGCGTCTGCAGAAGGAGGCAAAGGAAGTCTCCATGATCTCATTCTTCTGTTCTCGCCAACTCGACAGTCACGAAGGACGCCTTCTGGTGCCCACGCTCGCCTTCAGGCTCGCCGAGCGTTCTGCCTCGTACGCGTCTGCGCTTCTCAATAACCTTAAGTCCGCGCACGACCTCGGAGACCAGAGACTTGAAGTGCAGATATCCGGACTGCTCTTGGAGCCGTGGCAAAAAAGCGCCCATCTTCGTGCCGGTCTTCTTGAACATCCCATCGTCATCGTAGTCGACGCCCCGGACGAGAACGACGCAGGAACGGAGTTCATCAGACAGATCTCACTTGCGTGTCGCCAGAAGAAGCTGCCGGGTCTCCGCATCCTCATCACGAGCCGCCCACACCCCACGATCGAAAAACTCTGGAGTCACCCCGAAAACGAGCGAGCCGTATACCGCCTCAACGACGTCTCACGCGCCATGATTCACGATGAAATCTTGACTTATATGCGCGAAGAGCTGCACGAGTACCGGGAGGAGGACTATCAATATCTCGAACATTTGGCGAGGATCGCTGACGGCCTTTTCATCCACGCTTCTACCGCTCTTCGCCTGCTCATGCCCCTCGGCAGACGACTGGCGAAGGTCGAACAAACAAATAGGTTGAAGGCGATCATCAAGCGGTGCACCGCAGAGTCCTCGGGATCGTCTAACGGGATTCTCGACGATCTATACGCAGACGTCATGGCCGAAGCTTTCAAGAAGCTCGATCGTGAAGAGGAAAACGTCAGATCGCGTATCCTTGTGCTGCTACTCTGCTCCTCTGAGGCCATACATCCAGACTTTGTGACTATCATGGAGAGAGTAGACGCGGACCTTGTGCAACTGGTCATCGACGCGCTGTACGCCGTGATGTACATTGGCAGAGAGGGCCAAGTCCTCTGGCACCACGCGTCCTTCCAGGAGTATATCCTCGCCAAGTACAAGTTCATGGTCAAGCCGATGCAAGTGCACATCGTCCGTCGGTGCTGGGAGGAATTTACGCATCACTTGCCGGAGAAACGCCTGCTGAGCACGTTAGGCTGGGGAGTGCACCCTTTGATGCTCACCGAGGCTACCATTCAGCAATTCCATGTCGACGATATTATCCGCCGGTGCCAGATTCTTATCCGAGGGTTTAGGAGCTTTGACTTGGTTTAGGCGGTAAGCCTGCTCTTCCCTGTCTCGTCAGTGGATCTGACTCGTTTGCCATCAGGATCGCTCAAAGTGGTTGGATGCCCGTGGTTCATGCGATGTGCGATGATATATTGTCTGACGATGCTGAATGTTTCGTGTGTGTTCTGCACCTGTACGCGCCAGTCGCAAAGAAGTCATCGGAAACCACGTATGCTAAACTGTACGGATGCCATTTCCGCGATTGACCCGGTGACCTATCCATTGGCTTTCATGATTCATCGACCCGTCCGCGAACTGCGCGGACTCCAAGACTAGGGGCTCCTGTAAGTGGTATTCAAGCGGCACTGGCAACGGACAGCGCTAGGACAACTTCTAGTGACGATTCGGCTGTTGGGGATGTAGTTAATGATGAATGAAAATTCGCACCTCCTGCAATGACGACCGTGAACGCCGTTTAGCCTCTCGCACACTGCTCGGCGTTTGGACTCAAACGCCTGTCTCTTCAGGCAGATAGGTTCCCAGATACAGTTCCTGTTGACGTCGGCGAGAGGACGCAGTCCTGGCGACAATATATACCTACACTGCGGCCTACAGCAGACGCAAAAACATGTTTGACATAGCACCGCGAATCACGACCTGCACCCGCGTAACAAAACCCCATCGTCCGCCGCCGCCGCCGCCTTCACCTCTCGTCCTGGCATTCGCCCACTGGTATCCCCTCTTTTCATTTTACCGCTTAGTCCGACTTCTCCTTCGGCGGCGGCGGACTCGGTCCACCAAGCCCACTCGGGAACCTAGCATTCGCAGGCGTAGGCGGGAAAACCTGCGCATTACTAACCGGTGTACCCGGCGCATACGGACTCAACGGACTCCTAACACCCTGCGGCGGACCCGTATTCAACCCCAACCCTCTAGCCGACCCCCCACTAACGCTCCTAGAACTCATAGGCGGCGGCGCAACAACATGCTGCGGTTGATTATACGGGCTTGCAGGTGGAGCATAAGCTGAACCTGGTGGGGGACCTTGACCGAATGCTGAGCCTGGGGGAGGAGGAGCGTATGGCGATGGAGGGATGGTGTTGGTTGTTGGAGGTGCGTAGGGTGATGCTGGGGTGCCGGCGTAGGGTGTTCCGGGGTTTGAAGGTGGGTATGGGGATAGTGGGGAGCCGTAGGGTGAGGATCCTTCGACTACCCAGGAGTTGCCTTGACGGCGGACGGTTCCGCCCATGCTACCTGGACGCGCGCTGTATACACGATCAATATAGTGTTTGAGTTGGAATAAGGAGAAAGAGCTTACCGCAGACTCTCGCCGCCCCACTTAGTCCGCAAACCACTCGCACGCGCCTGAGCAGGCGTAGGCGCAAGCTCGTCCGTATCCGCAGGCATAATACCCGTAACAGCCAACGCCTTACTCGATATCCTAAGTGCCCAACTGGCGCAAACGAACACTCCACCCGAAACACCCAACGCCCTGACCAAGAAAGCAGCAAGACTGCTCGTGCGCTGCACGAGCGTCAGATGTATAGGATCGATATCGAACTTGAAGAATATTCCGGGTGTGCCTTGACCGTGCTCTAAGACTCGAGTGTAGTGCGTTACGGAGTATTGGGCCGTGTCGAGAGGGTTTGAGCGAGGGGCGACGTAAGTTGTTGGGACTACGCGGAGAAAGTAGGTGTAGGCTACGAATGGGTCGTGTGTGATTTCGAGAGAGTTGTCGAGCGGTTGGACTATTTCGGGAAAGTAAGGCCCAAAGGAGAACTCGGTGATGACGTGCGACATGTTCATTTCTAACAGAGGAAATTCATTAGACCGAATCTGGCGAACAATGGGATAGAGTTCAGGACTTACTGTCGTGCGGGACATGTATCCTGCTCTGGTATCCATGTCCAAGCGAAGTGACGTGCATATTCGCGGTGACCTTCTTAACCTGAATAGACCCATATATCCTACACGCGCTCCCATCCGGCGTATAATTGAACGTCTTGCCGTACTTATCCTTACTACGGCCCCACCACCCAAAGAACCCGCGACTCTTCCGACTCTGACTAACAGCCTCCTCCGCACTCAACATCTTCTGATGTTCCTTCAACAACGTCGCCTGTCCGACATCAAACAACGTCCCATCCCTCCTAAACCCCTTACTCAAATACAGCCTATCACCAACAACATCCCTCAAATCGACCGATAAATACCGACACGGCATAGCGACGACCATATCGACGTTCACATTCATATAACTGAACGCGTCTCCACCGTCCACTCCGAATTCATAATCCGGCCATCCCCATACGAACTCGGATATGTCGTTCAAGATCAAGAAGAAGGCGACGAGACCGATGAGGACGGTGAAGAGCCCTCGAGATTCGGAACGGGATTTGTAGGAGGCGGGGAGTTTGGGGAAGGCGTCGAAGGAGCGGAGAGGGGTGGGCGCGACCGAGTCTAGCTTGTCCAGCAGCGAGCCATCGTCCGCGGCGGCCATCGTGTAGGTCGTAGTTAGCGGTCAAGTTCTGTTTAGTTGAGAGATGGGCGTGTCCAAAGCACGACCACGTCGACCCAATAGAAAGTCCACGTGGAACCTGTATATCCGCCGAATTCGGCGAATCCTCTCCTTTACCCTGGACTTCCATCTGGTGTTCCGTAGTCACGATGGGCAAGCTGAACATCGCGCACCACAAGTCCTATCATCCCTACCGCGCGGATAATATCGCACGCGTGAGGCAGGATGAGGCGCGTGCTAAAGCCGAAGCTAAGCAGGACAATGACCGCGCGTTGGCGGCTGATGCCGAGGCGCGGATTGATGCTCTCAGGAAGCGAGCTGGTATCGATTCTGCTGCTGGTGCTGGTGCTGGTACTTCTACATCTGTACCTGTTGCTGGTCCTTCTACGTCTACAGCTATCGCCGGTCCATCCTCTACGTCTGCCCCTGCATCTACTCCTGCAGCTCCATCTGCACCACCCGGTGACTCCGGCCATATAAACCTCTTCGCAGACCTCGAAGCGCACGAATCCTCCCTCGCAGCCCGCGCCTCAACCAAGAAACCCGCCCTAACGAACGACGACCGCGGTTTCGCCCTCGCACCTTCGAAAGAGGATCTGTCTCCCTGGTACAGCTCTTCGAAGGATGCCGTAGAGGATGGGAAGAGTGGTGGGAAGGGCAAGAGGGCAGGATGGGCCGCACGCGAGCAAAGGAGAAAGGAGAGTTCGGATCCGTTGGCTGCTATACCGGCGCACATACGGTTACCTGGTCGGACGTCTGCTACTCGAACATCTTCCTCTCGAACACCTTCATCTACGGACGATGCGTCATCCGCACGCCTAGCGCGTGAATCGTCAGAACGCGCTAGAGCACAAGCGTTGATTGCACGGAAGAAAGCCGAACGTGCGAGGTCGGATGGGACTAGTACGATCGCTACGCCTTCGACTGTACATGGTGGATATGGGGATATGTATAATCGTGCGGATGTGGAGGAGGCTAGGAGGGAGAGGACGTGGGGACGAAGAGGGAAGGAGGTCGATATGAAAGGGAGACGATGGGATGATGAGGGTAGGAGGAGGTAAGATGGGAGGTGCCCTTCCTATACGCCGAGGAAGCCATGCGTTGTTGCTGTATGCTATTGCTGTATCATAGGCTGCTCTTCGGAATGCATATGTTTCCGGAGCTCATGCTCATGCTCTTTGAACACCAAGCAGGATAAAAAGAATCCATGTTGCTTTGGAAAGTCCTTCGAGCTGGCATCGAACCAGCGCAGCTCGGGATGAAATTCATCGGGATCGAAGGAGCCGTATTTGCATTCCGCGCTCTACCACTGAGCTATCGAAGGATGTTTTCGGGTGGGCACGGTATGGATACGTCCTGGCAGCGATGCATTCCCACACCTGGATCCCCGTCCCGTTTCGTTGCGAGAGCACAGCTCTGTCCCAACCAACCTCTCACCCCATACAAAGCACTCATATCTTCATCTCCACGCCCTCATCTCATCCACTTCCGTCCTCGCATCTATGCGCACACATCTCCTTTCGAGCATGGGAACTTGCTCGCTAAGGTCTCTTGGAGAAGAGCGGAGAAAAAACAACGTTCATTATCCTTCGAGCTGGTATTGAACCAGCGTCCTCGAGACGAAATTTGGTACGGCCTCCTCAAATTCGTTCCCGCGCTCTACCGCTGAGCTACCGAAGGGTGACATACGATGGGCGTAGCATGCATAGATGCCACCCAAAGTTCCGCATGCATCCATTCTTCTCGCTCCATGCTTCATCCTTCTGACGCTTGTTGCATCTCAGGTATTATAGCTCACAGAAGGACGCTTATTCTCATGAAATGTGGCTTTGCTCAGTTTATAGCAATGGTGTATAATCCAGGAAAGAGCAGACACTGCCAAAAGGTGTTACGTGACACAATCCTTCGAGCCGGTATCGAACCGACGACCTCAAGACTGAAGCATACAATATCTTTAACATTCATCTTGCGCTCTTGCCAACTGAGCTATCGAAGGGTGGAGTGGTATGAGTGTGGCGAGCACATGTCGACTGGACAGAAGAGTCCTTCTTGCACCCGAAAGTGGAGTTTTCGATATCAAGTTCGCCTCTACATCGTAACATTACAAGCTCATACACTTTGTGCCGACCGCATGAGCTCAGCATCCTGAACTAGGTGGGCATGGCAGCTGAAGCGATGGGCGCGACTCATTGAGATCAGAGATGTCACGGTACCGCGTTTGATGTGTGCCTGAATGCAGCAGTAGGCAGCGATAATATAGGCGGCTCTCTACCACGGATGCTGGCTGCTGTGACGGTGTTTGGGTTGCTCATGACCACCTGAGTAGTACGGTACGCTATCGGAACGGGAGCCACTGTCGGCGGGATGCTATGGACATCCCCGGTTGTCGGTCCGCGCGTGCCGTTGTCCGGCGACGCGCTTCGAACATCTTGCTTCTCAACCACAACCTCTCGCTCGTTACCGCACTAGAGTTGCCAGACTTTGCGAGATGTCCATCAAAACCTTCGGCACCGCTGATGCAGCAAACGACGTGGTCGAAGATTCACAGCAACCTGTCGTAGCGTCTTAAGATCCTTCGCGTATTACCTGCACCTATTGCCAGTCTTTTTCCGTCTACACCTATTGCCAGCCCCTCTTCTCTTGCTCTAACGAACGACGGCCACTCATCTGCCAAAGAGGGACTACTTTTCTTGGTACAGCTCGTCAAAGAACTCGGTAGAAGATGGCAAGAGTGGTGGAATAGGCAAGAAAGCGGGATGGACTGACCGCGAGCGAAGAAGGAAAGCTCGGATCCGGTGGCTGCTATACGTGCACAGATACGGCGACCTGACCGAACGTCTGTCTCTCGACAATCTTCCTGCCGAAAATCTGCATCTGGGGATGATGCATCGTCCGCACGCCTCGCGCAAGGATCTTCAGAACGCGCTAGGGCACAAGCGCTGATTGCACGGAAAAAAGCCGAACGGGCGAGGTCGGATGGGAGTACGATCGCTACGCCTTCGACTGTACATGGTGGATATGGAGATATGTATAATCGTGCGGATGTGGAGGAGGCTAGGAGGGAGAGGACGTGGGGACGAAGAGGGAAGGAGGTTGATATGAAGGGGAGAAGGTGGGACGACGAGGGTAGGAGGAGGTGAGGTGAGGTGTGTTTCCTATACGACGAGGAGATGCGTTGTTGTTGTATACTATTGCTGTATCATAGGCTGCTATTTGGAATGCATAACGTTCCCCCGAGCCAGTCAGGCTCATGCTCTTTAAACGCCAAACAGGATAAAAAGGTCCTCACCCACTGGGTAGTCCTTCGAGCTGGCATCGAACCAGCGCCTCGGGATGAAATCTAATCGGAAGGCCACATTTGCATTCCGCGCTCTACCACTGAGCTATCGAAGGGTGTTATGGGATGGGCGTGGAATGGATACATCGTCATGTACCGATGCATTCCCACATCTACTCCTCGTCCCGTTCCCGTCTCGTTGCAAGCGCTCTGCTCTGCCCTCTTATCCCGTACAGGACACTCATATCTTTATCTCCACACCCTCATTTCATCCACTTCCTTTCTCGCATCCATGCGTACACATGTCCTTTCGAGAATAGGAACCTTTTCGTCGAGGTCCCTTCGGGAATAGCGTAGAAAAAAGACATCCTTCATCTCGTAGTCCATCGAGCTGGTATCGAACCAGCGTCCTCGGGACGAAACACACGATATCAGCTTTTATTAATTCGTTCCCGCGCTCTACCGCTGAGCTATCGAAGGATGGCATGCGATGGGCGTAGCACGCATAGATGGCCTCCAAAGATCCGGCATGCATGCATCCATCTCGCTCCATCTCTTCATCCCGCAAAGGCTTGTTATACTTCAGGCTCTATATCACAGGCCGATACCTATACCTACGAAATGCGTCTTTGCTCAGTCTCGAGCAACAGTGCAGGAAGGAGCAGACTGAGATGGACGACAAAAAACCCGTCCACAGCGCCCTATCCTTCGAGCCGGCATCGAACCGGCGACCTCAAGACTAACCAGCTCATTCCTTTAACATCCGTCTTGCGCTCTTGCCAATTGAGCTATCGAGAAGTGGGGTAGAATGGGTGTGGCGAGCATATGTCTGCAGGTTGACACTGCAGCGTTAGAAGAGCCCTTGCGCCCAAATAGCGACTCTTTCGCTCTCAAGTCCGGCTCTCCATAATCCCAGTACAAGCTTACACGCTGTATTATGTCTGCTTGAGGTCAAGGTCTTGAGATTGGGCGAAGATGGCAGTGCTAAAGCACTGAAGCGAGGACGCGACTCGTTGAGATCAGAGATGTCACGGTACCGTGTTTGATCTGTGCCTGAATCATATAGCGGCGGCAGAGGTGCACTGGCAGGCAATGAGGACTTCGTTACGCTTGCTATTTTGTAGACGTAGAAGTCCCTCATGGCGAAGATGGTGCTACAGTATAAGATGCTATTGAAACGAGGGTTACTGTAGGCGGGACGCAAGAACTACGGACTGCAGGCTGCATGCGCCGATGTTCGATGCGGAAGTGTCTGAACGGCGCGCGTCGCGTCTCGCACTCTGACCACCACCTCCCCGCGCACTCCCGCTCATCACCTACCTGCCCAACCTTCCAATATGATCAGTAGCGCTTCCGGTGCCCGCAATGTCACGCACGGCATGAAAAATCCTCCTCGCGACCTTCATCGACACTCTGAGGCAGCATCACCTGTAGACGACCGGACGCCTTTCTGTGCTGTAGAAGATTGCTCTCCTGCTAGTCATCAGCCCGTCTCGGAGGGGCGTACGCTCGACCGCGATTTTGATACAAAATCCTCGCTCTCAGACGATCGAGTCCCTTCTTGTACTGTGGACGAGCCCCGCTCTGTGCTGGGTCAAGCTGCCTCAGACGCGGACATTCAAGATGCTGGACTCGCGGCAACGTCCGTGCCGATGCCATGCGTCCCGGCCGTGGCTCGTACCGAGCTCTCACTTAGCGACGACTCTGTGGCGCGTATTCCAGGAACCGATCTCGCCGATTTGTCTAAGCTCTTACCTGTCGATGACTCTGGGACACGATACACGGATTTGGGAGGTCGACCCGCTCGCGTATCCGGACTGGAGGCGTTCGCATCCCTCGTGGAGGATCTTCCCTCGAGTACCTCGCTATTAGATCTGTCATCATCAGAAGCCCTCAAAAGTCCCGTATGCGAACTTTATTCCCGGACTTGCTTGGCTCTCTCTCAAGTGGAAACTGAACTTCGCAACTCTCAGTCGTGGGCAATGTACGAGTCCGCCGCTCGCCGTTGTCTTCGTGAGATCACTGTACTGTTAGACCACTATCCAACAGTCAACGACGTAAGTCAGCTTACGCTATATCGTCCAAATCTTACTTATACTTCATCAGCATGCGAAGCTCTTAGCAATGAATCTCCTGACCGGATTGTGTGATACGACATCACTCATGACTGTCGCTCATTCTAAGGACCGCGCATCGCATCTAGCGCTCGCTGAAGATATCTTCCGGCACATGCTTCGACTTTCGTCGTTTTGGGACTTCGACGCTGGCTCTTGGGTGGGCTTTCATTCACAAGTCGATCTGCGCGAGCCTTTTATCCCTGCTTTCTTCCTGGCTGTCGATTGGCTCGGGTGAGTCTGATATGGCTAATCTGTGCTACCGTGACCTGAATGAACCGACGCAGAAAACGCCAGGCTAGTGTGACTCTTGATGGGTTGACTTTCACGTTCAACGTGTGGTTTCACCGTCCGGCATATCTATTGCAGAATCATGCGGAGAAGTGTCCTCTCTATGATACGTTAGAGATGTTTATCAATTTCAATCCCATCCACTTTCCCACCTCGACCGTGTACTTCGATATCTTCACTGGCAATGGCTTCGACGCAGACATCATCGCCAGAAAAATATGTGACGATCTGGGCGACGACTTTTTCATCGACGACCGGCTCTCGCGCACTCTTCACGGCTTCCAGTACTTTTTCTATACCAGCCAGATGAGATCTCGCTCCTTTACGGCAGGAGTTTGTGCGTCCATCACCGAAGCCTTTCGTCGCCAGCAGACATCAGGATCGGAGAAATACCAAGCCGCCGTCTGGAACGCCGCTGCATATTTGTTAGGGTACTGTCACGAATTGCTACATAGGCGCTGTTGCACTCACGCTCGATGCGTTTCAGTCGTATGCTAATTGGTTCTGAAGAAGCGGCTATGGCAGAAAAAACGGGCTCGACAGATGTCGAAGGCTTTCTGTCCTCTGGCATATTCGAGTTCATCGCCCATGGAATCACGCATCTGGCAACTGACAATGCTGCCGCAGGTATGCTCATATTCCCATATATTCGTTACGCGGGCCCACATCTAACGTCCGACAGTAGTCTGCAATGTCTTCGCCTTCCACTTCAAGATGCTTATAATCGATGCTCAGCCCACACGTCGCAGAGAGCGCGGATCCCATGCCAAGTCGCTGTGTACATCCCGGTTCTGTCAGGAGCTACAAAAGATCTGGCTTCCTGGCCTGGATAATCTGATCAGGGTTTCAGACGACCAAACCTTGGGCTACGCTCCCCTTCTCAGAGTCTGGCGCGATCTCGGTGTCGCTGCGGGATTCAATGAGAAGGAGGAACGTGTGCGCTTCAAGAAGTTCGGGGGCAGTACTTTGCCAACGCGTTGCGCTTGGGAGCAGTGCGAGTATTATACCGACCGCAAGCCAAATGTTCGTCTGCTCGCGTGCAAAGGGTGCGGTGAGGTGGTTTACTGCAGCCGTCAATGTCAAGTGTCGTACGTCGCTCACTTCACGGTGTACGAGCATGGAGGCTGACGCGTTCACAGGCACTGGAAAGATGGCGGCCACAAGCAGGTTTGTAGGCGTGTGAAGGACCATTAGTGTACCCAAAGCCTTGAACCATTAAACTCGTCTCGTGCGATTATTTTCGTTTCGTACCATCGCTTCTCGCAACATGTATCATATCATCACCACCAATTCCACTCCGAGTCATGCGCATGAACTTCATCTGCCGTACGGTCCACTCACTGCGCGATTTAACCCGATCCATACGAGCTAGGAACTACTTGCAGTGCCTCAACAGCTTCTCGTCCGTCTTCACTGTCACCTTCGCTTTTGGTCTCATATTTGAATAAACAATGTTGGGTGCGACTGCCAGTTGAAATGTCACGGTAGTACCGCGTTTGATGTGTGCCTGAATGGGCATGCGGTAAAGTACTTTGCTGAGGCTGAGGATTTCATCACGCCTGCTACTGTATAGGCCTATAGGTCTCTTATGGCAACAATAGTGTTATGGGACACTGTTAAAACGGAGACGGTCGGCAGGACACGCGAACTACGAATTGGCCATGCGACGCCGATGGATGCGGACGCGTCCGAACGGTGCGCGTCGCGTCTCGCACTCGAACCACCACCCTCCGGTACGCACTCCCGCTCATCGCCTACCTAGTCGATGCTTCATATGGTCACTAAGAACATAGACGGCCCGGTTGCTCCTCTTTGTGACCTTCATCGGCGCGAGTTTTCTAATTCGACCACCTGGCGCAGCATCTCAACATCCTTCGGACTCTATCTCGTTCATCCCATCTACTGGCTTCTTCGTAGCCTTGTTTTGGTTCTTACTGGAATTGACTGTGGCCCTCTGCTTGCGAACCCGACTTCTCTGGTAGCCGACGCGGATGATCGTCTCAAATCAGCCGGTCCCGCAAGCGATCACTCAAGCTCAGATCCTGCAACGCCGCGCTCTAGCGACCCGCCCGCCCATTCCATTAGCGATTCACACCTCTATCCCGCCAGTACTCAAGTCACTGCAACTCCATTCTCTACGCAAGCCTCATGCGTGCGCAGAGTCACCTTCGCAAGTCCTCCGGTCTCTCGTTGCAGTACGGCTTGCGCTGCCTCTGCTTCTGTCGCGGCAACTTCCTCCGCTGACGATCAACTCAAGCGCAAGTCAATCCTCAAACGCGCCTCTTCCATCGGTGATTGGACCACTTCCTGTGCTCTGGAGGAGTCTTCTTCTTCCATTCGTGCAGCAGCCTCGGAGGCGCTTACGTCAGACACCGACCTTGATGCAACGCCCTCCTCACCCTCGGACGGCGAAGCATCTTCACCTTTACTTGAGGTTCCCACAATCAGCGGCGACTCTGTAGCGCGTAATACAGGAGCCTGTTCTACTTCTTTGTCCGGCTTGGAGGTTTTCGTATCCCGTGTGGAAGATCTGCCGCCGGCTGCCTCACTACTGAATCAGTCGCTGTCAGAGTCCCCACAGAGTTCTTCGTTCAGGCTGTTTTCTCAGGCTTACTTGGCTCTCTCGAAGGTGGAACCGGTAGTTCTTGACATTCAGGCGTGGGCAGCGTATGAGCTCGCCGCTCGTCGTTGTCTTAATGAGCTTACCGTGCTACTGGACCTCTCCGAGGCGATCGATGACGTGCGTCATATGTCCAATCCCATTTAGATCGCACTCATTCTTTCGCTAGTCTGTGAAGCACTTAGCGGTGTCCTTCTTAACCGGACTGTGGAATATAACGCAGCCCTTGACCGTCGCCCATGCTCAGGATCGTACAATGCATCTGGCGCTCGCAGAAGATATCTTCCGGCTTATACTGCGACTTTCCACCCTTTGGGACTTCAACTCTAGCTCTTGGATAAGCCTCTATTCTCGAGGTGACCTGCATAACGTCTTCATACCGACTTTCCTCCTGGCTACACAATGGCTCAGGTGAGTGCGACGTGGTACATGTCATATCTATTCTAACCGATCGACACAGTGTCCGTAAAATTGGCGTATCTCTGGATGCATTGTCTTTTGCCTTCAATCTCTGGTTCTACCGCCCAGCATATCTCATGAACGACGACGACGGGATGTCTCTTCTCTATGATACCTTAGGTACCTCGGAGGACCGTTCCACTCCAGATATCCATCAACCTTCTGCTACGTCAGTGTACGAGGATATATTCCGCTATTTCGACGCAGATACCGTCGCGAGGAGGATATGCGATGATCTGAACGACGGGTTTCTTGTCGACGAGCGGCTCTCTTGCGCAATGTGCGGCTTACATGGTTTCTTTCGTACTAGGCAG